ACACACACACACACACACACACACACACACACACACACACACACACAAGGCCACGTAAGCACACTGTGCTCCACTTAACTATGAAGAAACACAGAGTGAATAAAAAACAAAAATACAGAAGAGCATGCAGGCTATAATCTTGAATGACGTTATGCAGGTGGAAATAAAACAAACAAACCTGACTTACTCCCTCCAAGTTAAGGTTGGAACAAGTAACCATATAACAAGGAATGCCTGGGATTCAAAAGTAATGAATGATTGGCAGGTTTGCAACACCCCAATGCCTGACGGAGCTGTAGCGAGTTTCAGCTCATTGTCTCTAGCTGTCCGGCCTGCAACTTCACTGTTTTGGTTCAAAAACAATGCACACTGCCTGCTCAGCACCAATCGGCAGACGGACACAGTTAGGGACTTACTAGTGGACATTATAAAGCATATGTATTTAATATTTTTTTATATAAAAGAGTATATAGCAGCTAAAGAGACTCCTTCAGGAGTAGGTGGAGACCAAAAACAGCTAAAAGGAGTTAATATTGGGCTTACATTCATCAGCAAAACACAAACAGGATCCAAAGGAATGATAATGTTGCTCCATAACTGCTGGGTGTGTAAATAAGTAACTCTTTGCTAACACATAGCAACAGGTGATTATAAGTCAACATTGTGTTGTCCCAACTCTCACGTGATCAAACACAGGTTAAGCATGCTTTAATGACTATTTTATGACTCTGTAAACCAAAGGCTGAGTTCAAGTATAATCTGTGGTGGAGTTTCTTTGATGACCGAGGACCCGTCAACAAAGAGTCATCTCCCAAAACACATTCTTAATTGCTGCTATCAGTTTGGAGCTTTATCAGCTTCTAAGCTGTGTACAGGCGAGGATGCTAGTTTGTGTTCCCCTTCGATTGTTATGCACCTCTTGTGTTCGTAGCTCCTCCGTTGATTATTAAGGCAGTGTGGTCAGTGCTGCTGAGGGAGGCGTGGGCCAGTCAAAGATTACAGAGCTAGTTAAAAACATAGAAAAGAAGACGTTACTGACGTACACTTAAGTCCTTTCTTCCTGACAGAGTTTAGCCATGTCTAGTTATTTCTACATATCCTTACCCCGACCATATACACCTACTTATAAAGTTGTTGGCTTACAATTAAGTATTATCGCATCCATAACACACACATCTATAGTAATGTCTCACTGGAGTAGTAGTTCTGTGCACCTGATGAACCAGTGTTTACTGGACTTGGAGTTAATTAGAGGGGTTAAGACTCAATCGTACAGTAAACGTGCTATAAAACAATTCGCTAAAAGCTCTGTAGAGCTGCAATCTCAATTCTCTTTCATTCTAGTTTTGCTGATTTTTGCTGGTTCAACCACACTAAACCTAAACGTTGGTTCTATTAAACATGTCACATAAATACAAATCAGTTTCTATAAAAGATATCAAGAGTCAGGTTTATTACCACTATATATCCTCACATGCAGGATAACATCACAGGACCTTGCAAAAAAAGAAGCTTTTTATAGCGTACTGCCAGGTCTGCTCTTGACTTATCACATGGTTCAATCACATCAGATAAAGAATGATTCTGCAGCTGCCCACATGTGAACTGGCATTTGGACTGGGGCCAGGCTATGGTACCTGCTGACATTACATACACACACTTCTATCTACACACACCTTTGCCTACATGCGATAAATGATGACTTAATGCTTTACCACCAACTTTCCTTATCTTTAGGAGCGAATTGAGTACTCAAAGACATTCCAGGGGAAATACTTCAATTTCCTCGGCTACTTCTTTTCCATCTATTGTGTTTGGAAAATCTTCATGGTGAGAACATTTGCAATTATGTTCTGGCATTGTGTCTTTCCCTCACCTCACATATAGATTCTGTGAGTGCTACGGCCCAATTAGATAATCACATGTTGTTGTGTTTTTCTTATTGTTTGAGATGCAGTTATAAAAAAGTACCTTTTATTTATTTTTCAAAATGCCTCTTCTATCCCCCACAGGCCACAATAAACATTGTGTTTGATCGAGTTGGAAAGACGGATCCAGTGACGAGGGGTATTGAAATTACAGTGAACTACTTGGGCATCCAGTTTGAGGTAAGACACACACACACACACACACACACACACACACACACACACACACACACAACACACCTACCTGCAGTAACAGTCACATGTTACACTGCATACCTCCTGTAAAGATAATTGCCAGCACATTGTCGTCTCCCTTGCTGCTGTCTCTGCTGCGTACCTGATCATGATCGCATTCAATCTTTTCCCACGTAGATAATTATTTAATTGCGTTATTGTTGCGTTATAGCTAACACTCTCAGAATATGGCAGTATGTTTACATTTAAATAGATACATGATGAAGTTGTCATCTTCCTTTCCTACTCCCAATTAACACATGTTTTGCTTTGTTTTTCATTTATTCTCTTTCTCCGCTTTTCAGGTCAAGTTTTGGTCCCAACACATCTCTTTCATCTTGGTGGGGATAATAATCGTTACCTCCATTCGTGGCTTACTCATCACCCTCACGAAGGTAAAACTATCACATGATACATGTTGAAATGGCTACAGATCTATAATAAATCTGTGATATTTTCTTTCAAATGATGCTGTTTAACCAACTGTATAATGCTCCTTGGTTTTTTTAGTTCTTCTATGCAATATCAAGCAGCAAGTCGTCTAATGTCATCGTGCTCGTCCTCGCTCAGATCATGGTGAGTGTGTTGCTTTATATAGTTATCTTGTAACACAGAGCACAGCCTTCAAACAACAGATAAAGCAACACCTTCTCCATCTGTCTCACTCCACCAGGGGATGTATTTTGTATCGTCCGTGTTGCTGATGCGTATGAGCATGCCGCTGGAGTATCGCTCCATCGTGACGGAGGTTCTGGGAGAGCTGCAGTTCAACTTCTACCACCGTTGGTTTGACGTCATCTTCCTGGTCAGCGCCTTGTCCAGCATCCTCTTCCTTTATCTCGCCCACAAACAGGCACCAGAGAAACAAATGTCCTTCTGATGCCCTACATCCCCCCCCCCCCCCCCCTGGATTTGACTACTGACCCTTGGGTGACTTTGAATCTGGAATCTTGAGATATCCAGAGATCAGTTGTTGTTTTTTAATATGTGAGAGATAATTATATCGAATGCCTGTTCCTGAATCAGGAATGGCTGATTGTTGGATGCAAGTGATGGGGAACTGTTGGAGCACATTAGCAAAACACTTTGAAGGTGGACTTTCTTGAATTGAAATATATGCAGAACAGACATTACTATTAGTAATTTCATTTTACCTGCAAATGCAACCACTTAAATTCTTATTATTTCAGCCAGAACGATCTTTTGGAGCTGTACTGTTCACAGCAAATCTGTGCTTCACTGCTACTGAAGTGTAAAAGGACTATACGAGGAAAAGATCAAGATGTCATTCATGATCTCCACCCTGAAGCAAAATATGTCCGTTAATTGTGAATAAAACCAAATCCTCGTAAAGTAAGCTTATTTCAGATAGTATGTTTTCATTTATTGGTGTTAGTTGAAATTGTAATTGATTTAATTTCCTTTTAGAACATTAAATAAAGGCAGCAGTCTTTGCAAAGAGAAAAACAGACATGAAAGGTCACAGTACGTACTGGTGATAATAACAGCTGAAGCTCTTAAGCTTTGGTAGATGTTTTACGTTACTCAGATCATTGCTCATCTCCAAGTAGAGCTGCTATTTTCGTCAAAGGAAGACAAAAGTATTCACGAAAAAGTATTCTCAGCCCTTTAATCATGCAAATATCCTGCCAGAGTTAAGATATCGTCAGTACATTTCAAAAGTGTTGACTGTCCTTTTTTTTCCTGCATCTCTTGTCTCCTGTGATGACGACTGGATGATTGAAGCCCACACAGCTGATTGTTGAGAAAATGATGGATCAACATTAGATTGACAAAGGCCAAATCGGAGAGCGGGTCCTTTCTGTGATTTTTTTCAGAGTCTCTCATCGACACTTTCTGCAGATGAAGACGATGGCGTCTAGAAGAGAGAGGGGTAAAAAAATCACAATTATTTTACACATTAAACATTTTTTTCTCTGTGAAGGCTTGTGGTTGAAAAGATAGAAAAGAAATGACATGAAACAGCACAAAACAAACCACTGCTAACACTCATGGGGAGTGTCGTATGTTTTGCAGGTAATTATTCATAAACCAAAGTACTGAACCGATTCAAAGTATGACCTGAAGATGTAATGAAATCTCTAGCAATCACCAAAGTTGTTCCAATTCATATTTAGAGTAACATAAATGTCTGTATGAAATTTTGTGGCAATCCATCCAATAGTTGACAAGACATTTCACTCAAAACCATAAATGATTACCTCACGGTGTTGCTGGTGATTGGTCACTAGGACTTATTGTTTGGGGAACATCAATGTCTGTGCAAAACATCCCTCCAATAATCGTTGAGATATTTCAGTCTGGACCACAGAGGTGGCCAGACCGACAAACCCGACATTGCCATCCCTGGAGCCACACAGCTAGTGAAATATATCACCTGTGAGGCTTTACAAAGCACCACTCACCCTCGCTCTTGCTGGTTCAGTTGGGGTTTCAGGTCTGGCCGCCTCATGTCTCTCTTCTTCCTCTGGAGTGTCTGCAGTGTGGACCTGAGCATAAGATGTTTCTCCGAGCAGCCGGCGTGTGATGGTCACTCCTTTAGCTTGGAGTTGGTCATAGACGCTTTCGTTAGCCACCAACAGCTCCAGAGAACTGCCACTGCTGCGGATCATCTCCACCACCTCATCGTGGCTGCTCTGCTCCACATTCACCCCGTTGACCTCCACCACAATGTCGTCATCCTCCAGATCCGCCCTGTCGGCCACTCCACCTTTAACCACCTGAAACGAAGTGTTTGTCACCAGTTTGATATGAAAATGATGAAATGCTGGAGATGTCTGTACTTCCTACCTCCTTGATGTGATTTCCAGACACCCCCTGGATGCCATTTAGGTGAAAGCCATAGCCAGTTGAGGCCTTTTCCATCTTACACAGTTTGGGCTTGAGCTCCTCCTTCCTACTCTGAACGGGTGTGGATGGTTTGACAGGAGCAGGTAAATTGAGGGCCTCTCTGTAACTGGGCGGTGAGTTGGAATCCTTTATCTCCTCCAAGAAGACTATAGGAGACACTTGGCCCTGTGAGGGACACAACGATGACATTTAGATGGTCTGCAGTCTATATTGAAGTTTGACAGTGGCACTCTGACTCACTTGCATATACATTTGGTCCGTGTCTTTGTCCACCACTAGGAGGCAGCATTTGTTTCCACTCTGCCTGATCTTGTCCACCACCTGCTCATGGCTGCATCTGTCCACCTCCTTACCGTCCACAGCTACTAGTCTGTCCATTTCCTTCACACCTGCTTTTTCTGCTGGGCTGCCTCTGTCTATGTCCTTGATGAAGTGGCCTGCATGGAGTCAACGAGCACACTGTTAAAACACAGCCTTCTCTCCGCATTAAAATACCAGTTGTTTGTGATATTTACATATGGCCTTGCCTGCTTGGTTCTTCTTCTCCTTGAGCAGGAAGCCATAGCCATCAGGTCCTTTGGTCAATTGGATGATGCGTGGCTTGTGTGGGAGATACTTGGCAGTGGCTAACCATGTTCCTATCTTCATATGCTTGCTCCGGAAGTGCCTGTCTGTTTCCTCGTCAACCAGCAGGAACATGATGCTGCTGCCGCCAGCCAGTCTGATCTTGTCCACTACTTGATCATGTGTGGAGCCTTCTACGTCCTCCCCGTTAAACTCCAGCAGGCGGTCGTTGACACTGACCCCAGCCCTGTCAGCCACACTTCCTCTGATCACCTCTGTCATGAACAAACCCTGCTCACCTAGAGAAGATGTTATAGCAGATATGAAAGCTATGCAAAGATTAAACAGACTGATACAAATAGGAGTAGCCTACTTTATAGATTAGTTATAAGCCATTAATAGCAACATTATTTGGTGGCTAGGTTGTGCAAATCACTTTGGCTTGTTTTCATTCTCCTTGAATATGTCACTTGCTTTTGCCGGTTCAGCAAATGACGTGCTGTTTTGACTTTCACCACAAGTCCTACAAGCTTGCTTCATTCATAAGTATTTAAGTTATTGACGTTATACATATCAATCAAAATGCTTCCTCAATGGACACGCTAAAGATCTAAATGCATTACAACAAAGAGTCATTCTGGAGGAGCATATAAACTAACTTTCACAATCTGGCAAACCCAAAAGTTATTCTAATTACGGACTTGTTCCTGATCTATAAAGAATTACAAAAGGTTTTTTTTAACCAATAATAAAGCCAATGCAGTAGTTACAATCTCTACTACATTTTCTCTTTCCTCGTATAATCTACCCACATGGGTAGATTAATTAAACAGGTTTAATTGTATGTCGTCATTTAGTGCTTTTTAAAGCACTCTTTCATTCTCATTCTTTTCATCATATGCCCAAAATTGACATTCCTTAACCCGTCTCGTCATCTCACCTTTGACTGAGCGAATGGAAAACCCATAGCCTGAGCTGGACTTAACCAGGTAGCAGAGTTTGGGCTTTAGAGCCGGTTTGGCCCCACCGTTGGCAACCGGTGTGCTCTGAGGGTCGGACAGGTTCACTCCCGTTGCTTTGGCTTGCTCGTAGGAATCTCCATCCAGGATGTGAAATGTGACTGATGCTCCACTGTTTCTGATCATGTCCACCACCTGTCCCGGGGGAACACATACACAGCAGAGGTGTTTTAATAAAGATGCCTGTAACAGTACAATTCAATCATCCTATGGAGCCTCAAAGCTGACAAAATGTACTCCAACATATAACAGAATACACAATACACCCATAATACTGTTAGTCTAATGAGTACAGTTGTGTTTAAGCAGGAATATAAAGCTTTTTACTATTTATTTGACCTCTAATCAGTTAGTTAAAAAAGCAACAATCGCTTAATTTCTTTACTTTATCACCAATTATACATTGACTCCTCTTCTATCTAAATGTCACTAGCTTGTTTATTTTTCGACTCCTTACTTCCTATTTTATTTTGCGTCTTGACACACATTTAATTGTTTATGTATTCTATACTCTCCGCATACAACATCAATGAAATTCCTCACCACTCTCACAGTAACTAAAACATCTTAGCAGCAGCAATCTAATGCTAACGCCACTTTGAAGTTGACAGACACCATACTTCTATCTTCACCACATCATCTTCAAGTGTCTCTTATCTTCATCAAGGACTACAATGGACATTCTGTGTGTGATGTATTGTATCTTCTCATAATGTTAAATATACTAAGCTAAAAAGGTTTAGGTGGTAAACTGCTATAATGGGTATTCCCATGTCACTTTCAAATTAGCAGCATGGAATTAGAAATGGCATATTGACCATCAATCAAGTAAACTTTATTTGTATAGCCCCTTTAATGCAGGCTAGTGCATTACAAAGTGCTTCACAGATGACTGATGAAAGTATTACATTTCATATTTCACTCCAAATGAATAAGCTTCTACTGCATCTTATCATCTTTGGGGCTCCATATTTATCTCAGAGTTCTTATTGATTTAATTGCACTGCGGTAATTCCACATCCTACTTACCTCTGAATGTGACAGCCCATCAACAAATGTTCCATTGACCCGCAGGATGCGGTCTCCGTCTTTCATGCCAGCCAGTTCAGCTGGACCGCCCATTTCCAGGCAGCGGATCAGGTGACCGCCCACAGCATACTCCACCCTCAAGTAGAAGCCAAATGAATGACCTGGCCTCTTGGTTAGAGAAATCACCTTCGGCTTGTACCCGGCCATGTCCTAGCATGGAGGAGAGGGTTAATAATATACACACACAATCAAAAATGATATCTTGTAATGCCCTTTATGACACAAGCTGCTGTCTCTCGTCACTGCATTTGTCTCCAAATATTACTTATCAATTGCAAAATCAAAGTGATGATAAAGGAAATATTCTTAGCATATAATGTAGACTATAGACATTTTGAGGCTGTGATATGCAAACATAAACAAGGCACATACAAACATACAGTAAAGTGCTATTTTCAAGTTACAGATCTAACCCTTCAGTAAAGGAGTATCTGCAGTTATTTGATATATTTATTTCCTTAAACCTGTCCTGTCTCCCCCCTTTTCCTGTCACTGCTGTCCCTCTTTTAACTGTCATATAATAGCAGATAACCCTGGACCTGAAGAAGCAATAGAAGTGCTGATAACTTCAGATGAAAAGTTAATCTTCCATGTCAGCACTCGAATGGCAGTTAATTGTTAACAGCAAGGCAAGGCGAGGCAAGTTTATTTGTAGAGCACATTTCAACAACAAGGTAAGTCAAAGTGCTTCACATAAAACCATTAGCAGGCACAGCTGACTGTGGTGACGACTCTCCGTTATAAAGACAGCCTGGACTTTGAATGCACAGTTTCTCTGTACCGCTTTAATCAGACTGTCATCTCCATATGGGAAGGTTGTAAAGTATGTGTGTGTGTCCTACTGGCTATCATAGTTATTGTAGGATACTGTATGTTCTGTTAGAGTCACACAGCTTTTCCTGGGTCGTAACCACCGTGTACTGACAAGTCAAACAGACCTAGCAAATATAAGATCCGAACAATTTGTGGTTTGGAGTCGGTGTGCAGTTGTTATTTTTTTTTTGTTCCAACAGCTTTGCACTTCCATGTGATGTGCAGCATAATGACAAAATTACGCTCCAATTACAGTTCATGCCATTTTATCAAACCTTGAAATCCCTGATTTTCCCATTATTTATTTATTTATTTACTTGAAACAAACAAACAAGATGGCCTTACTATACAGGAACAGTGTAACGCATGTAGTAAATTCTACATCTACTTTCCCGACACTGAACTGAAACTAGTTGATGCCTATATTGAGTGCAATATTCAAAGCCAAGACAGTTTGTATGACAAATACCTGTACTTAAAAAAAAATGTTCACAGATTTCCCTTAAATTCAGCCATATTGAGTGTTTTTGAAAACATTGGAATCTCCGCTAGAATGTAAAGTAACATTTTGTGGTTAAGCATGCCCAGAAGAGGGCACTTTGTATAGATTATAAAGTTAATAGATCTAGTATCAGAATTACACTTGAAACAAAACAAACATACCTCAAATTAACTATATTGCCTTCATAAAAGTCCACTCATCTATTCTTTTTATATAGATGAAGAATTTATATTGTACTGCATGTTTGTGGCTTGTGTGACCCCTTAAAACGAAGCAATGTCTACCTGCGACTCCTTATCATGTTTGTGACCAACTCAACCAAAAACTGAACTTTCACTTAGTTTCAGAGGCCTAAAGTGGTACAAATGTCAGTAAATCTTTTTTTTTTTTTTTTTCAATCAACAAACAACAATAAATGTTTTTTGTTTTGTTCCTAATGTCATAACTCTTCAGATTTGGATTAAGATCTGGAATTGGCCTTTGAAAACATTCTGCTCTATGTGTTCAATAATGTGATCATAAATTCCAGTATGGTAGAAGGTTTTCAAATTAAACTCACCAGCTGGTCTCTGCTCAGTGTCCCAGTCGTCAGGAGGAGCTCACCTGTCACTGCTTGGCTGTTAGCTAATGTGTCTTCAACCTGTACTCCTCCTCCCCCCGCCGTCTCTCTGCAGGGACTTTGACATGCCAAAGGTGAGCCTAAAGGGTGAGTTATTTAATAGTGTCTCGTGTCAGGAATATCTCAGGAGGCGATGGCCCTGTGCAATCTGTGCTCAGAAATGAAGATGGAACCACGAAGCAGTCATCTGTTTGGTGGTCAAAGGTTCACCACGCAGATGGCAATAAGCAAGGAATCATTATGGTTTGTATACATTACGGTCAGCACTGCATTAAGGGAAATGCATCATGGGTACCAATTTATATTGATCTCATTTCTATAAAGGTTTTTATTTGTGGAACAAAAATCTGTTTAAATACACTGCATATCTTGGCAGTATCGCGTTACTCTAAAGCTATAAGCTAAAACTATATCATTTGGGTTCAGAGAGTCTTTCTAAAAAGACAAAAAAGTTTTACCCACTGTCCTACTCACAAAATACATTTTGCATGTCAATACGATACAACAGTAAGAATTAAAGCCTACTTAATCAACTCTGAAGGGACATTGAATTTTAGGAAGACACCCACAACATTCACAAAGTTCAGGGTGTAGTTTCTCAAGTGTTATGGTTGCTGTGGTCTGTAACTATGGGAGAGTCCTTTGGTTATAAAAGGCTTATTACAATACTGCTATCCTTGGGATGGGACAAAGGTGACAAAAGCTCAAGCTCAACCAAAGCCAAGCAAAACAAATCTGCAAACTGTAATAGTTAACTCATCACTGTGCAAGACTTGTTGGTAGCATGGCTGTTCTTTAAATATTGTACTCTTGAATTAAATTAAGTAAGTCTCTGTTAAGGAAAAGTCATTGATTTAAACATCGATAACAACACTTTTTGGTCCACTCAGTCATCAGCAGCTCCTCTCATTCCCTTTCTGAAATGAAATATATTTTGAAACATTTAGTTGACATTGTCAAAATAAGGATGGAGCTGCTGTGGACTGAGGAGATCCCACAAGACGACAATCTGTTGGAGTGAGGCTCTGGCTGCTTAACATTGCATTTCTGCCATCTACTGTTGTCATAAAGAATATTTCTGGGCATTTTCCAACAATGCAGAAATACATTATTGTTGGAGAGGTGCAATTTATTTACTTTGCATGCACTAATGCAACACATATTTGTGTGTGATGACGCATGTATTTCCACGTGTGTGTGTGTGTGTGTGTGTTATCCATGTGTGTTTACCAGGTGTGTTGTTGTGCATTTGTGCACATTAAGTCTGTGTACAGTGAGTATGTACCTCTGTACCTTTCACTCCCTGCTAGGCACTGGAAACACAGAGGGAAGCCCAACATCAATTCATTTGCAAGCACCCACATAGAGAGGCGAAAGTCCCGCTCTTTCCAGTGGACCACCAAGAGGAAGTATGAGTCAAATCATTTTTTGATGCCATTTAAATTGTGCCATAAATTACACATGGATGAAGAACTTTTTCATTATGTCAATATTTTTTTCCACACAAGTAAAAGATCCACTTTCTTTGGTCTCAGTAACATTTTGTATCTCTGAGACCAAACAAACATTTCCTTTCCCATAAAGCACTTGCAAAGCGTTTTAGTCGATGCTTTGAAACATGCATTAGCTGCACTTTTATGTCATCCTTCTCTTTTTGCCACACTGCTATTTTTCACAGCGAATTACCGCCACCAATGGTAATGCATATCGACAGATATGCATAACTGTTGGTGGAAAGATCGCCAGACATCCATTACCATCCTCTACAGTTTGCAGACTGTGTCAAGTCGCCCCATGCTCATACTGTGCAGTGCATTGAGAATTGGTGACAGCACTCCACCTTCAAAGCTACAATTCCTGATTTTCTTGGTCACTTGGGTGGCAGCGGAAACAAGCTGTGTAACATAACATTAACATATCATCACCTGTTAAGTTGATACAGGGAACTTGTTAGCAAACCGTTAGCAAATAAGAACAGACTTTATCATTCATTTGGAGTCCTGTTTTTAGAAACTCGCAATGAAGCTCGCTAAGGCTGACGGGAGCTTCAGATACAGGTGATAATTCTTTTTTGTTTCATCACTCTTCTGCTTAAAGAAAAGAGCAAATTTGATTAAATGCATTACTGTCCACCTCTTGTTCAGTGTTTGTTTTCTCAAACAGCGCTCAGGTGTAAAAACATGATGGCGCAGGACTGTCTGGCACCAATTGAGAACAACAGCAGGAAATGGCAGGATCTGTGTAGGATTGAGGGCGTCAGTCTCCACGCTTGAACACAGAGACTTTCACACACAAGTGAGTGTCTCCTCCCGACCCGAACGCCCCCTTGTTAACACAGACACACACACACACACACACACACACACACACACACACACACACACACGCACTCACGCCTTCAATCCTGTAACCACTCACTCACTACCGGCCTGGAGCTGTTTGAACAATCGATCACTCGGGTCCAAGAGCTACAACCAGAGAAGAGATGAAGTGAGTGGAAGGAGACAGAAATTGTCTTCAGCTTGGCTTAGCACTGATGCATTCACTATCCATTACCCTCAGTCATCACCTTGTGTTTGCCAGAGAAGGGGAGAAAAAAAGAGTTTCATGTCTTTCCGTGACACCTACTGCCTGGATTACTGAATCCTCCAGTGCTGCAGATGTGTATTTGATCTGAAACCTAATGTTAGTAGTGTTTACAGTAATGGCAGTAAAGTATGCATATACGTATATAGCGCCAGAGGATACAGACATGAGCTGTAAAGTTCCACCACAGAAGTGATTATCTCCAACCTGTCTTCATCAGCAGTGGAGCCTCAGTAATCAACACACTATGCCAGTTTGTGATTACAGCACTCAACTGGGAGCACTAGTCTCTCTCTTCATCTTGATTGACATCCTCACATGGCTTGTTTATCTGGGGTAAGTGGCCCTGCACATGACCTGCCAGAGTCAGCTAATTAGACCAGGAGAACGATTAAAGGTGGGCCGCTTCAAATAATGACCCCTATTTTTTTTTATCTGGGAGTCATTTGAGAATATGTATAGACCAAGCAGCCGGTCCCCGCTCTCAACAGCAATAACTTGCATCAGAGAGCAGCGACATTTCAACCTCCCAAATGTACAGGTGCCACGAAGAGACAGTCCATGCTCATCTCCAGCTGAATACAGCACAACGGTGCAGCTGGACTAAAACACAGTATCTTTAAACTGATGATAGGATCGATGATTATGGCGTTACAAAAGGATTTCTAGAATCATAACAATAATTTACACCCATCAATAATCAGATCATTCCTGAGCGTATTGGTGTTTTTTTGCTCATTCCCAAAACATGAAGCACAGTGACAAATATCACGGCTGCCATGCCTTCAATGGTACAAAAGAACATGGCGTTCAAGGAAATTTCTTGCATTTATTTTTGATCGTTATAATGAAATTGGACAGATTTCAGTGAGAAACTTAACTGTATGCCAGTGCAGATCATAACTAAATGCCTTGTTCGCCACAGTACCGGAAATATCCGAAACACCAGCCTCATGTAACAAAATTCCATTAAAAGCAATGATAGTCATTGATAGGGGCGACTGTGGCTCAGTGGGAGAGCAGGGTCGTCCTTCAATCAGAGAATCAACAGTTTGATCCCCAGCTCTGCTAAGTGCCTTGCCCAAGGACACATCGACATCCATGTCTATGATCCATGATTAACCCCAAATTGCTCCCGCAGCCTGTTCCTACTGTATGAATGTGTATGAGTGGTTAGCTGAATGGGCACGTGGTCCTGATGGGCAGGTGGCACCTTGCATGGTAGCCCCTGCATGCCATCAGAGTATGAATAGGTGAATGATGACATGTGCGCTTTGAGTGGAAGACTAGAAAAGCGCTGTACAAGTACTGTACAAGTCTATTTACCATCAACCAAAATATGAGAATTATTATTATTGTTCATAGTCAACTCATTGAGCTTATTTAACACCAAAAGATATTTTAACCTCTATAGCCCTAGCCCTATTTTATTTTTACAACACATGGTAAAAAAAAACAGAACAAGGATGGGACATTTAAATATCATAGCCTATTCGTTTCTTCTAGAGGATGGGTTAATTGGGTAACGATGATGATTTTTATATGATAAACAAGATATAATGAGGAGGATAACCTCATTGGATGTGACTTAAGAGAACAGTGATTTCCATTTCACGTTTATGCTCTTGCAAACGACGGAGACAAGAATGTAACACATGGGTATATTTTGCGGAACATTTCTCATCAACACAGAGCATGTTGTTCATTCACCAAAAAGACAGTAAGTGCACTCACACACCACATGAGGGCGACGGTGCGCATGTAAAACCACCACAGGCGCTGTTAGTCATCTCTCCATTAGCTACACGCTCTAAATCCTTGAGCATGGCGAGGGGGCTGGAGCCAACCAACCGTCTCCACCTTGGAGGTCTCCAAGCTGACACAGAGACATACGACTATTCACACACATTCGCATCTACATACGGGCAACTTAGAGTCGCTAATTAAACAAGCATGCAAAATAGCTGGTCTGGATACAGTCACATTGCGTCATTTATTTTTTTCTTTACACAAATCTTGTGTGTGAATTCTCCCCAATCTCATTCATTTAAACTGCCCGGCAGTTTTACTGTAGATCCAAGGTTTTTTTGTCATTTTTTTAAATTTTCTAAAATTGCAGAGATAAATGCAAAAGCGTATAAGGCCTTACATGACAAGATGATAGCTGAGGATAACATATGGCAGTGAGATTATCACTTTCTGAGCGAATAGAACAATACAACTTCCTTGATGACGAGTGTCCACAAACTGACCAATGGACCGTTTTTTGCTGTCCCACTCTCTCTCTCTCTCTCTCTCACACACACACACACACACACACGCACTCTCACACTATATGACAGTCTCCCGGTCCATTCGGCGCTCACTCGGTCCCTCCATGCGGTTCACTTGGCAAAGGCGCAGCAGTGCGCCGCGATCTCCCTCTCTCATGGAGCGCTCCGACCTTTGATTAACGCGTTTAAGTGGAAGACATACCTACAGGAAAGGTGAATAAATCAAAAAAGAAGTAAATTGCAGTTTTCAGTTTGTTTTGGAGTTTGTAAAGCGACACTTTGCCTCAGTCTCAAGCGTGAAGGACTATAGATGCAGTCTAGTTAGTTGACCACTTGAAAGGCTCACACGAAAATTTGCAAACGGTCCCAATCGAACTTTTTGTAACCTTTGAGACACAACTGAGTGAAAACATGGATTCTTTTGCGCGAAATGAGACATTTACGTCTCCCGAGTGCGTCGGAGCGCAGACTGATGCGCTGCAGAACGGAGCTGGTGACGGGAGCATGGGAACATCAAACATCACCTGCGGGAACGTTTCCACACTGCTCATTCCTAAACGTGTGAGGCACAAAGGTGAGCGGACACAAAGCTTACTCAACATTATCACTCGGAGGTTAATCAAAAAGTGCATCTGTGACCACATTTTGAATTGTCTTTAAGGTGCTATATTGAACTGACTTAACAACCTCCAGCACATGGAGGCAACAGTGCAGCAAGACAATTCATTTAAGCTTTCCTAAAGCCCTCAGTTTACACAACGTTAGGTTGTTAATGAAGGTTTATTGAGACATGATAGGCTGAAAGGGCAGATGCTCTATGAATTGAACTTTTTTTCAAATTTCCCTCCACTCACATAACTACAGAAAAAAAGAAGAATTTGTGTGGCTCATAATTATTTCACCTTTAGAAATGAATGGTTAATTTAACATTTTAGGCGTCATTCAATCTCAATTTACTGGGATATGATATTCTGATGTGCCACACTATTTTCAAAGTAAAGCTGAATTGTTGGCTGTTTTGCTTTACTTTGAGGGAACATTGATGGAAACAAGTTAAGATAAGACAAGATGAGCCTTTACGTGTCCCCAGAGTGAAATATAAATCAGAGAGCAATGAGAGAGAGAGAGAGAGAGAGAGAGAGAGAGAGAGAGAGAGAGAGAG